TATAGAAAAATTGTAATTAATAATTTCAAAAGTTCATTTTATTGTTTTTTTCTTTCTTTTTAAAATCACAATATGATTACTAGAAGTAATAATTTTTCTATTAGGGTAATGGGGTAATTTCTAATTGTATAAAGCATTATGATTGATGAATACATACATGTTTGCGTGTCTTTATAAACTTTGATCAAAATCTTTCTAAAGATTCTAAATAAATGAATTATTTAATCGATGTTGACAAATTACGGTAGCTTGACGCGCGCGGTGAAATCATATATAAATGATATATTAATTAATTGTAAAAAAAGAAAAGAAAAGAAAAGAATATCGATAACAATGATTGAAAGATAAAACTAGATAGAGATCATTAATAAACAACATTTTGTCGCACGTCTACTGAATTCGAGTGTCGTGTCATGGTCATCCCCCGTCTGACCAAGGAGACACGTTCGTTTCATGAAAGGAAAAAAGAAAAAAAGAAATATATAAAATAAAAATAAGAAGGATAAAAAGTGAAAGAAGGACGAACGAATGAGATCGCAAGAGCGAGACAACAAATAAGAAGATTATGCAAATGAAAAGAACGCGTTCCTATTCTACGAGCGAATCACGTAGTATAATAAAAGAAATATAATCAGAATTTGTATTTTCTTTAATACACAAACCAAGTCAATTTCAATTTTGTTTTTAGACGAAAAAGAAATGAATTTTCAATGAAATTATTTCTCTATTTTCTTTTTTTTCTTCTTCTATCTAAGTATTACAGTATTCTTTTCTCTCATATTTATTTATTTTTTATAACCAAAGAAAGTATAAATGGAAATTTTCAGAGATAATCAAAATTTCAAAAGAAAAAAAATTAAATAAATAAATGGAACACATTTTAAGAGATACATTAGTAGCACTATCTACGATTCTACATATATATATATATATAAAGAAAGGAAATTAGAAAGCAATTAGCATCGACTGCTAGAAATAGGAAAAGAAAAAATGATAAAACATACACACACACACATTTTGAAAAACAACAAGTCAAACCTTATCGAAGATTTCTTTAGAACCAAGGTAATCACGTTTGACACGATATGCTTATGTACACGCATAGAACACGTGGATTTCACGTTCGTAGTAGAAATAGTATCGTGAGTACCGTTAAAGTGTGCACGAGTGAAATAGCCGATCACACATATACACATACTCATAATACACATGCATTCACGCATGCATCCACGCATGCATTTACGCATGCATCCACAATTTGCGAGAGAAATAGTCGTTTACGTCATACCAATTCTTTTCCTTTCTTTTATTTAATGTTATTTTCTCTATCTTTTTCTACATGAGAATATACGAACAAAAGAATACAAAAACATATGCGTCCGTCGTTGAATCACGTTAGATGAGAACAATTTCGCTCTTTTTCTTCTAAATTTTGATTTATTCAAGTTCTATTTCCCGTTCCGTGTTTTTCTAATACTTACACAATTAATAATATATTTTTTATTTAGGTATATACTATTTTAATTCTATATATATATATATATATATATGTAATACCTTAAACCACAAGATTTAAACATATTTAAAAAATAATTCCATATTCATTATGACAATTTTATTAGATTTAATTTTTCCAATTTTTCTTTGATTTTGGGCTTCATCGTTATATAATAATTATTAATAATAAAGAAAATTAATGAAAATAAAAAAAATATGAAATATTCGAGAAATTAGATTTTTTGTTGTACTTTCCTTTCTCGTGATATCAAAATAAAAAGAAAAATAAAGAAGAGTTAAATTGAAATAAACAAATATATAAAGTTAAACGAAGCGAATAAATCTGGTTTCGTTGATATGATTTATAAAGTAACTCGTCTAACAGGATACACATTTTATAAATAGCGAGTATACGTCGTCGTCGTCACGTAGAAAGGAGACCTTTTCGTTGTTAATTACTTTAACCGACGACTTCTATCAAAGTAAAATTCGGATCGATTCGTCTGTGCTATCTAAATATTCAACCCACATTTCGAGATATCGATTATTAATAATAAAAATAGAAATATATAGAAAAAAAAGAGAGAGAGAGGGAGAAAGGAAATAAAAGTAATTATAAATATAACTAAAATAAATAAATTAATTAATTAAATAAATGAACACAAACAAACAATTAATATGTTATATATATTTTCTCTATTTTTCTTCAAAATTTAGACGTATTCGGTTTTCTTTCTATCATATCTTTCCCGTCAGCCTATATTTTTAGCTTCTTTCAAAATGAATCCATTTGTGTATGTTCGTATGGTGGTATCTTTTTCTATGGATATCTTTCTTTTTCCTTTCGCTTGTGGCAAAGATTCATCTCGTAGTTATCTTCAAAGCTTTCGTTGGATAGATTGCTTTGCTCGGATGGCCTTTTTCATTTCATTTTTATTTTCTATCTCAAAATAGAATCCAAGGAACGATGAATTTTAGTCTCTTACAACGACTGCGATAAGAATACATTAGTTATATTGCTTATATATATATATATAGTTAATTCATGTGAAAACTATGTCAACTCGAAAAAATTTCCTTCGAAAGCCAAACTCTCTCTCTCTCTCTCTCTCTCTCTCTCTCTTTATCTTTCTCTTTCTATAAATATATATAAACTACTTACTAATAAGTTATTTATATTTATATGATAACTTGGTCATTTATATATTCATATATGGTAATTATAAAATGAAAAATATTGAACACGTTGACTACTGTATAGGTACTCACAACACGACCAATAGTAAAAATATATAATTAAATGAAATATCGATACTAATAAATTTTTAAATAATATCACTAATTTATAAATAGAACGTGAAAGAGAGGGATAAAATGGTTTATATAAGGTTTCAAGAAAATAATAACTATTAACACGTTTCACACATTAAGTTGCTAATCGATACGAGAATAAAACGATCTCGATACGATCTCTTTCAACCCTGACATATTCGTTAACAAGAATCTGCAAAAAAAAGATACGTCGGAATAATAACAATGCATAAGATTTATCGAAAGCCATAATAAATTCGACGAACGAATCGAAACATTCGCACGTAAATGCGTTCGCTTAAAAATTCATTTCGCTTTTCCCTAAACTCCATCGAGTATTATCAAATTTATCTACGTTTTTCATTTATAAAATCAATTACTTTTTCTAACTGTAAAATTATATTATTTTTTATTTATTTATACTCCGTCCCTTTCGGGTTTGGAGGGCTTCCGATACAAAATATTTAACATCTCTTATATACCTGTAAAATTATATATAAACAGTTTAGTTGAGTGTTCAAATTATAACGGATTAAGACTTAACGAAGTTTAGATGTTTTGTGTTTTGAATATTAGAAATAAAAAGAAAAATGTATGTCTGCTTAAAGAAAAAAGATGTTGAACTTTAGAGATTAAGGTAACATGTAATATTTTATAATGTATGAGTCTCATGTATTTCGTAATATAAAAATAAAAATAAAATAAAATTTAAACGTCAAACTTATCAAAATTAAGTTCTATTTCTTTTTTTTTATGTTCAAATTCCCCATGATACCTTCTTATTAAGTATTATATATAACACTACTACTTTGAACCGTCCAAAATTGAAAAAAAACATCAGACTCATCCTAAATATAACAAAATAATATTCTTTCGAAAGATAAGATAATTGTCGTGAATCAAGGAGAAATTTGTCATTATTTTGCACTACATAAATCGATATGAAATGTTCTTAAAGTATTTCGAAAGTGGTAACAGCAACGTGTTGCTGGTGTCAGAAATTAAGCAAGCAAGCAAGCTAGCAAAGCAAGCAAGCGAGCAAAGCAAGCAAGCAAAGTTTCTTCTTGTGTGACAGTAAAAATCGTGACGCACGTCGACGTCAATATGAACACATTCGACGATTATCATAAATTTATGGCAAACGCGTTTAAAATGACCTCCGGACGAACGTCTCGTCGTCGTGACATACCGGAGGACAAAAAGAAAATACAATTATTTTATTATTTCAATGTGTGAAGAAACGATTTACGTCAACGCGATCCTACTTAAGACAAATATAATTCAATAATTTAACAGTATTATTCATTTGTTTTATTTTATTAATACTTCAAATGACGCGGACGCATTATTAATATTGCAAAAGTGTTTATTTATTTTAAATTGTAAAAATTCTATCGAAATATTACAGATCGATATTTCAAATGGATTCTTTGCTTTAACTTTTCTAAACAACAACAAAAATGAAACTTTGAGAGACATGCCAAAGGGGATAAGAAGGTGAACCCAAAAATGCATATAGACACACACAAAAAAGTAACATTTAAGAATCTCTCGAAACGATTTCCAAAAAAAAAAAAAAAATAAGAAGAATTGGAGTGTTACGCTAAAGTAAAAAATCTTCGCAGGAATAGAAATCTCGTTGATATTCTCGTCTGTTGACACCTTAAACGAGAAACACCCACGATAACATTCGAGTATCACTAACGTCGTCAACACTTACACATCAGAATCACACTCGACATAAATGAAACAATACAAAAATTTGGCAGAGAATAAAAACTTGTTGTTTTGGTGTCACTTGGTAACCAACCCCCCGGATGATGCACCCCACTTACTTATTCAGAATGAATGAAAGAAAATATGAAAAGGAGGGGGGGGGGGAAGGAAAGAGATTTTTTGAAAAAAAAAAAAAAAAAAAAAAAATGATATTTCGAAGATGACAAGATAAAGAACAAAAAAAATATGAGAGTTGAGAATTGCGAGTTAGTATCGCAGCTCTCTCGCGGTTTCAACTTGACTGGTTGTGCTGTACTCGGTATGAGCCTTCGAAACCACTAAGTGTACTCTGTTCAGAGTACCCCACCTCATTCTCTTTCCCTTTCTCTCTTTCTCTATCTATCTTTATTCAACTACTATCTCTGTCTTTTTCTGTATATGCTTGTGTGGTGTGTGTGTGACGGTGACGCGACTTGGGTTCTTTGCAGGCTCGTGCCTAGTCAAACTCGTGTTACGGTTGTGGATCATGATTTCCTATATCCATCGGTATCCTATGATCATTCTCGCGTAAATTCTTCTAACAACAGCAACAAAAAAAAAACAATCAAAATCGAGCTACTTTTTTGTTTTTCTTATTTTTTATTATCCATTTTGTCTCCGTTTATTATTATTATATAACTCTTCACGAATATTTGTAATATCTGTCGTGTGATCTTTTTATTTTATTCATGATACACGATTAATTAGAAATTTGACAATCTATCGTATTTTCTTTTAATTCTTATTTTAATATATTTTTTCATTGATTTAATTATTTTAATCGATATAATAATGTGTAGTTAACGTTGATTATTTTCAATAAAAATAAGGAAAAAAAACATGAAGAGAATACGCGATTTCTCGAATAACGATACTATTAAACGATCGCGTAGAAAATAAGAAAGAAACGCGAAATTGAGAATCTAACATTATTTATTTTCTTTCTTTCTTCCCTTTGTTTTTTTTTTCTTTTTATTTTTCTTTCTTTTTATATTAGAAACTCTAAATGCATAGTTCGAATAGAATTTTTCTCTCTCGTGTTAATTTCAATAGAAAGTTTCATACTCGAATCTATTCTCGAAGTTATTTCTTCGGAATTACTCGATAGACGGTAGAAAAACGGCAAAAAAATGGATTCACTCGTTTTATAAGCGCGTATTTCATGGACCGATAGATCAGCTATGAGAATCTAACGCTACGAAAGAAAAATCAAAAATAAGTATAACATTATTTACCTGTAATTGTAAAAGAAAATCACACATTACACAATTAAATTACAAAATATAAAAAATTTAACTACGAAACATTAATCCTATTTATTTGTTAATAATTAACAAATAAAAGCTATATATATATATATAAAATAACTAATAATAATGAAACAATTGTATAGCCAAAATGAGAAATCCAAAAAGAATCTTCGATTATATTTTGTTCCTTTTTGAAAAAAAAAAAAAAAAAAACCCCCCCGGAAAATCTTTGGGAATAATTTGTCGAACTTAACGATGAGACATTTTTCCTTAAATCATCATCATCATCATCTTAAATCCCGAAAGGAACTACTCTCTCTCTCTCTCTCTCTCTCTCACAAACATGCAACCAAACAAACGCATACAATAATTACAGTTTCCAAGTAAAAAAAAAAAAAAAAAAAAAAAAGAAAGAAGGAGAAATAAAAAGAAAAAGAAAAAAAAGAGAAAAGAGAAGAAGAAGCGGGCCTGGCCGTCTGCGTTTCTACTTTTGTCTGACGGAACTGCGACCGTTTTCACTGTATACAGAACACAAAGCTTGAATATTCTGTCTTCCAACTGGAATGATACTTTTGTCTCTCTATCTTTCTCTCTCTCATTCTCTCAGATTCGTTCTAAAACGTGCTGCTTTTTACCGACACCCCCCTGCCCCTCCTCTTTCTCCATTCCCTGGCCCTTCAGCCCCGTTAACTCTTTCCAACATTGTTCGAGGAACATGTCAGCACGTTGGAAAGCACGAAAAACGCTACTTCGATCGGCAGGCAACTCGTCTTTGCTTTCACGAATAATTTCACGTCTGTGATTATGAAGAGTGTCTATATATGTCTGTCTCTTTGTGTGAGGGGTGTAAGGGGGATGGGAAGGTTGGGTTTTTGTAAGGGACGAACACGACTGTAAAAGTCCAAAGTATTGTAAAAACGTGAAAGAATTAGCGAGTCAGTCTTCTCATCTTCCTATGTTTCATCTATCTTTTCTCGAGTTTACTAAAAGTATATATATATATACACATGTGTGTGTGTGAGGATTCGTCCAGATGGATTCACGTGCGTGTGTGCGTGTGTATAATGGCGATTATTTGCGCGTTTCACGTGCCGTTTCTATTATCACCGGCTTTTAATAAAGCTTTGAACGTTCGAAGACAGGTTGGAAGGTAAGTGCAAGGAAGTGGTTATACGGCAGACTTTATAACTGTCAGACAATTTACAAGATAGAGATTTATGCAAACAAGTTTTATCCTATTCTTTCGATACGATTTACTATTTGTTTTTTTTTTTTGTTTTTTATTTACATTTGTTTTATATTACAAATTTTATATATATATTATTATCGAAATTGTTTTGTTCTTCTAATTTTTGTTTCTCATTTTAATTATTTTACATGGGATAATAAAAAATTAAATGAAAAAAATGTATGTAATGATAATATAAAGAGAGAGAAAAAAAAAGTAATTTAAAGTGAAATCTACGACTATTAGAAGAAACTAAATGACATTTTGATCCGAGGACAACGCGCGTTTGCTTTCGCCATGCAATCACGACGTTAACTTTCACTCATTGTTACAGAGTCCACTACGTTCGAATTCACAATGATGTCGCTTAAGTTCCCCATATAACTATCATAAGTCCTTTAATTCTACGTGGTGACGACCTAGACCTTTCCAAAAAAAAAAAAATAAAAAACAAAAATTACGGATACGTTTTCATTTGATAAAAAATTTCATTTTTATTGTTTTACCCTGTATATTTATGCTTTCATGTATTTCATTAGAAAAATATTGTCAACGATTAAAATATTATTTTAAACATTCCAAACAAATTACTTTCTGAATCGGAATAAAAAGGAAAGGACCATTAGGACAAATCAATTGCCTAAATAATGAATCAAACTGAAAAGACAATTAAGAAAAGAGTGGGGGAAAGAAGAGGTAAAAAAAAAAGAATGATGGCATAGAAAAAGTTTCACGAACGATCGAAGGCAATCGAGCGTAGTTGGTTCAACGAGGACAGTGGTTTAGCGGTTTTAAAGGTAGTTCCTGCAAGCCGGAAAAGAATAAAAGAAAAAAAAAAAGAAAAAGGACAGAGAAAAAGAGAGAAAGAAAAGGAAGACTTTATTGGAGTCAACGTGAGTTGAAGTCCGAACAACTCGCGATGATAGCTGTGCCAAGAGTAAAAGGAATCGTATATAAAAGGTAGTCAGTCAGGTAGTCAGGTAGGTAGGTAGGCAGTCAGTCAGTCAGTCAGTCAGTCAGTCAGCTCGTTTCGTTGTGTTGTGTTGTCCTCGACTTACGTAACTAGTTCCGATTAGTTGGTACCACCAGGTACAGAAAGGCAGCTTAGTTGTCGTTTGGCAAGTGAAACAAAAATCTCATGAAAAACAGGATGAATTTAATAAGATTCATCAATTGATAATATACTTACAATAAATAAATGGCTATGATAAATGTTAATCATTAATAAGATTTGCCCAAATTTTATTTTTATTTATATTAAGAAAAAAAAAAAAAGTTTTTCCTAGAATGCAATAATAAAATTAGATAATTATTACAATTAAATATGGTGATTAGAATGATGTGAGTTTTATTAGAAAATAAACTTTCACTTTAACAAGTAAAAACATTGTTCTTACAGTGTGATTATTAAAAAGATTAGATGACAATAATGATGATGATAATGATGATGATGAAAGAGATAAAAATAGATTCGGATGAATAATAAAATAAATTTCACGACTAAATGACAACTTCAATGATGATGATGATGATGATGATGATGACGGCGAGGTACTTTCTCATAAAAAATAAACAAATGAATCTTTTTTTAAGTATACTCCAAATGAATGTCAGTTCGTTACTATTATGCTCAACTACCAATTAGTCTCAGTACGTATATTCTAGGAAGTTAGATAAGTAAAGAAATCAGGAAAGGGCGTGGTGAATGATAATATGGTGAGTCCGTAAACGATTTGTTGAAGTTTCGAGTTGACGAGGACGAGGACTCGCGTGCTAGCCGTTGTTTGCTATCTTGTTACGGAAAAGTCAGATACACTAATTGGAAAAATTTGATTAACGAGCTAGGAAGAGGGGGGGGGGTATATTGGGTGTGTTATCCATCGATGCTAACAATATGATATTTTTTTTTTTCTTTTCTTTTCTTTATTTTCCACATTTCTAATGATTTATTTTTAATAAATGTATTTTATATTTTATTGTGTGAAAAATATTATTCAATAAATGTTCTTTAGAAATTGTTCTATTTAAAATGAAGAACAAATGATTTAATTATTTGATCAAAATGACGTTTAATATTTTATTGATGTGAATACAGAGGGATAGGAAAGAAAATAAAAATAGATTTCGAATGTATAGAAGATTAAATAATGAAATGAATTTTTGTATGTGTGTGTAAAAACATACCAAGTATCACGGTAGTTCTCCCAAGAAGGAGAATTGTGTTTAACCGACATAAATAAAGTAATGTTTCCCTAATTACTGATCTCGTTGAACGAAGTCAAGGAGCAAGAGTAATTTAATCTCCCTAACCGTGCCAGGGACGCAATCTTCGTCTTAGCTTAAGGGGCTTGGTACAAATGAAAACATCATTCGACTCAAACAACTCTGAATATCTCGTCTTGGCTGTAATTACTCTTACGAATAGATGAAAACCTTTAACGTCGTTAATAATATTCAAAATGAAAACATTAATATATCAAATTATTTATCGGATTGCTTAGCAAAATTTCTATTCATTTTCAACGTGTTCGAATTTTCAACAGTTTAGTGATAACCCACCTGAAAACTTCTTGGATCATTCAATATAAATAAATAGAAATTTAAGAATATAATGTGTTTTATAATTAATCAAAATAAATTTTCGAATTTTCGAAATTTTCTAGGATGATAATGAAAATAAATTAAACATATTTATTTAATTTTTTTAATAACGAGATTTCAAAATATGTCTGATTTATTTAACCGAATATGAACTTAACAGGATTTTGTGAACCCGTGACCTAGCATGCTTTAGAAATTCACGAAGAAAAACCGGTTTAACAGAGATTCGACTAAATTATTTATGCGAGTATTTAAATATAGGAGAAAGTTTCCGGTCTCGCTGGACCTAAAA